AGGCAGGAATAAACTATGAATGATAAAACAAAAAAATAAGCAATGAGGGAAGTTTACAGAGTAACAAAATACAAACATCAAAATGATACTCTGTTAATAAAATAATAAATTCTTTGTCATATAGCTCCTTCCCTATGGGAGCTGTGACCCACAGCTTGCAATTATTGTGGTTGCTGACATGGATCTGACGTGCTTCTGCCAAGGATTCCATTGAAGTCTTGGAACTTTGTCTCTAGTACCTTTGCGTTCTTTTTCTTGCGGCGTGAAGAACTTTGTCGTCGTATCGTCTATAGGGACATCGTCATCTTGAATGGAAGCCTTAGCTTTGACACGGCGGTGGAATCCTGGAGTCAGTCTCTGAAAATGTAGATCACAGCACCCATGGCCTATAAGTCTTCTCAGCGATATTCAGTTTGTCTTCCCTAATTTACCCAGTATCTCCACCAAAATTACACGTGGAAAATTAGGAAAGACAAACTTCAGGATGACACAGCAATTTTATTTAAGGCAGGAACAAACAAAAAATAAGCAATGAGGGAAGTTTACAGAGTAAAAAAATACAAACATAAAAATGATACTCTGTTAATAAAATAATAAATACTTTGTTACAATATTATTTCTTTTTAATTTTCAACATATAGAAATATTTTAGTTATTTTCAATTTATAAATATTATTACGTAGAAAATTAGGAAAGACAAGCTTCAGAATTACATGACAATTTATTTAAGGCAAAAACAAAATCAACATTTATAAGATACAAATAAGGCATTGAGGGAAATTTCCAGAGTAGCAAAATATAAATATAGAAAATTAATAATCTCTGTACGTAAAATATAATAAATTCTTTGCTACATAGCTCCTTCCCTATGGAAGCTGTGACCCACAGCTTGCAAATATTGTAGATACTGACATGGATCTAACGTGCTTCTGCCAAGGATTCCCTTAGTCTTGAAACTTTGTCATTAGTAGCTTAGCATCTATTCTCTTGCGTCGTGAAGAGCGGCTTCGTATTGTCAATAGGGACATCGTTTTCCTATAGGGAAGCCTCGACTTTGACACGGTGGTGGAATCCTGGAGCCAGTATTGGAAAATATAGATCACAGCACCCAAGGCCTCGAGGTCTTCTCGGCGATCCTCAGTTTTGTCTTCCCTAATCTACCCAGTATCTCCAACAAATGCCACGTAGAAAATTAGGAAAGACAAACTTCAGAATGACACCGCCATTTATTTAAGGCATAGGGAAGGAGCTATGTAGCAAAGTATTTTTTATATTTTATGTACAGATTATTAAAAATAAATAATTCAGTGATAAATAAATTAAATGTTACATTAATTTCCTTTTGAATAAGCAAATCATTATAACGATTCCTCAATGATTATAAGAATATTTTATTTAAATATATATTCCATTTCCGTGTTAGTTTAACACTTTGGAACCAAAGAACGCGAATTCGTGTCCCTGATTTCTAAAAATAAATATAAAACGCTGGCGGCCGACGAGAAGCCGCGTCCACCGGGATCTTGTCCCATATCTCCTTGCTCAGGGGGATGTCGACTGACCCAATGTAAAACATCACGTGAGACCGCCGTTTGGGCAGCCCCTATTGCCTGCTTATCTTTCTTCCTTGTTTGTTCATTTTTCTTTGTTCGCGCGCTTTTTTTTAAATCACTTTCCTATCGCCTTTTTTAGATGTAACCTGTACCTAATACATTTACCACTCAATATTACTTAAAAACTTAATGTTTGTTAGTTAATATAGAGTTTATGATAGATATCAAATGGCTATTTGTGTGAAGACTGCTTCAAAAGCAATTGGCAGTGACTTTTATATTATATCTCAAAATGAATATTATATAAATGTGTAAATAGTTTATCTTATAATGTTTCCCTTTTAATCTCTACTCACTGTCAGTATAGTATGTGGGGTGAATTTGTATTTTGCATGAACTCAATGGACAATTGAACAAATTAAAAAAAAAAAAACATTAATTATTATTTCAAACTCTATGGATTATATTAAAATGAAAATCGATAAGGCACAATTTGGATTATAGATTATAAACACAAGGTAATAAGACCAAATCCAAATAAATAAATAGTGTGTGACGTTTCGGTAACAGCGTTGTTACCATCTTCAGACAAAAGTACTGAATGAGAAATTTAACCACAGCATGTTTTTAAATAGTTACTGTTATCAAATGTGTAAACAAGATAACAGATAAGAAGAAGATATCTGATAAACAGATGAGATAAACACATGGTGAATATTATTCTTAGAATTAAGTTTTTTCAAATATAATTAAAAGCATATCTATAAATATCATTTATATTTCCTCTTTCTTCCATTCTGTTAATTCTTATCTGTTATCTTGTTTACACATTTGATAACAGGAACTATTTAAAACATGCTGTGGTTAAATTTCTCATTCAGTACTTTTGTCTGAAGATGGTAACAACGCTGTTACCGAAACGTCACACACTATTTATTTATTTGGATTTGTTCTTATTACCTTGTGTTTAAAATGAAAATCGTATTTTTGAAGCGATTTTTTATTCATTATATTTTTTAAAGAACAACTCGATTTTTATACGCCCAGTGGACCTTGCTACTCTGGAATCAGGTTCAGCCAAAAAAGATCAGAAGTGTGGTCAATATGGCCAGCTTACTTATGTGGGAAAAACATATTTTAGAAGAAATATACTTTAATTCACAAAACTCTTTGTTATTTAAAAGACATTACAAAGGTGGAAAGACATGCATGTCTTTTGAAAATAGATCAGCTGGAATGCACCCTGAATAGGATTTCAGTGCAAAAACAAACATCCATAAAGGACTTCTTTAAAAGATCTTTATGATTATTATTATTTTTTTAATAATATTAAAAAAAAAAAATTCTTTCTATTTTCCATATTTAGCAACTTTTCAACTGCTATTATTCAATTAGATAAAATTTTATTTACAATTATGTTTCCAAAATATATGTATTAATGCCATTTTGTCCTTGCCACTGAAAGTTAATCATGAAAATAAAAAATAAATAAATATAAGAAAATACAATGGCTTTAATTAATAATTTATATTTCAAGGCTATTTTAAAAAAAAATCTATTATTTTGGCGAGTTAGATGATTAGCAATCATCTCTGACTAACTTTAATTCAACCGAAAGCTCTGTTCCCTTTGGGTGTTGAATTAAAGAGGTTCGACTGTATTTAATTTTGACTTTAATGCTCTTACCTTTTTTTTTTAACAATACATTTAAACATTTTTATCCTACAGATGTTCACATACAATAGAACCTCTCTGTAAAGGATATCTATTTGCATAGTCAAAGTGTCTTTTAGAGAGAGGTGCCCTTTTACCAGAAAGCTGCTAATTAGTAAAAATGATTGGTGATGAAAAATGTCCTTTGGAGAGTGGTATCCTGTAGTGAGATTGTCCTCTCATGGAGTAGGTTCTACTGTATCACTCATCATCTTAATGGTCTTTTTTCTTATCTCCACTCACAATCATATTAAGGTATCAAGCCTGTAGAGTTGAAGATTTTTTTATGGTGTCTCTTAACTCTGCCGGTCCCAAGCCCGGATGAAAAAGGAGGAGCAGTAACAAGATCGCTAAAAAACCTGAGCTCGGCTGGCCCTGTAAGACTCCTGATCTAGGATGAGCAGCATCTGTACTCCATATGTTACGAGCGGCTTCACATGGCATCTGTTCCTCATGTCAGAAGCGCCCATTTCATATTGGAGCTAAGTTGGCCTAGTACTGTGTAGTGCTCCCAGTCATGATGGGTGTCACCTTAATGGCGGTTTGTTAAAGTAGTACAGCTTTCACCACTACTGAAAAAGATCAACATCCTGAAACATGCGCATGATTAATTTTCTTATTGATCTAGGAAGGCCTCTTTTTGGTCAATACCCTGTATCTAAATTCAACATTTAGTTGATAATAGAGCATTAGCCTGTTACACATGAGGCTTGATGTGAGACATATTACCTTAAATGAGTATCATAAAAGGTGTTTGGTAATAATGTCAAATTATCTTGCTGTACATTTTTTCTTTATCTCAAATATAAAAATGTTGTTTGTAAACATTTTGTAACCAAACTTCCTTTTATATAAATGGTAGAAACAAAGTGTTTGGTCACTTCTAGAATTGGCCAGCATTTCATGAAGTAGCGAAGAATCTCTGGCCAAGGCACAATGTGCTGAGTCAAAAATTCAATGCAAAAGTGGGACTCGGTAGCATAAATAATGAGATTGTGGATAACTTAGTTACAGAAGACCTTGGTAACATCAAACAAGAAATGGAGGATGTTATAAATATGGCGATTGCATCCAGAAATGAAGCAGCTGTTATGTACTATTGGAAAGTCCAGAACAGTTGGCTGATGATAAGACTGCAAAAAGATTGTCTAGTATGTGACAAAGAGTGTAGTGCAGCTATTATTGTAGATCCTGTGGGAAGATGCAATATGTGGAATAAGTAATGAAGCGCATGCAAAAGTTATTATATCACTTGCAGACTGACATAATAAACAAGAAATCAGAAAGAAGAGGTGAGGATCTCATCCTAGTTGGATGTGCAAATGTGTCAATGTGCAAAGATGCTCAGAGATTAAGGTAATATTCCCACTGGCAAAGGCTGGAGACAATGTACAACATATATATCTGCATACCAGATGATGTCGCAGTAACCCAAGAAGCATTCTTGCTATTATCTCATGAATGTCAAGGATGGCTTCTATACAAGATAATAACAGAACATGGCAATCTAAAAAAAAAAAGTTTTCTAGAAACAAATTTTTCATTCTGCATGATAAACTACTCATCTACTTCTATAAGCACAGAAGAAAAATTACTACACAAGGTGCAATTGTTCAATTAAATTCTTAACAAGTCATTGTAAATGCAGACACAAAATCTTGAATGATAAGGCCCAATTTGAATTATAAACACAAGGTAATAAGACCAAATCCAAATAAATAAAGTGTGTAAAAGAACCTAGAGCACTCGGTGGTCACCCTCCCAAGTACTGACCGGGCCCAACATTGCTTAATTTCGGTGATCGGATCTTCGGTCTTATTACCGTGTGTAAAAAATCTTTAAATTTGAAAGTTCATCTTGTTGTAATAAGAGAATAGAGATTGATAATCAATAAAGAAATAAATGTATAAAAAATGTCACAAAATTTACTCTTGTGTTGTGAAAAGCCATTAAGAGATTGATTATTTATAAAGAAAGAAAGAAAAATATAAAAGTCACATCCTGACGGCTCACATGACCATTTTAAATGGCAGAGCGCCATCTAGTGAAACAAAAATTAAATAAATGTTAAGCTTATTCGAAGATATTTGGCCAACCTATTTCTTGATAGATCAAGAAAGGCCAACCACAAACGGTGTTTTGGCCCTTGTTAATGTGGTGTAGGCTGTACCTCAACAACCAAAATTTAGGTCCAAGAGACTTTGCCGGTCCCAAGCCTGGATGAAAAAGGTGGGGGGGGGGGGGGAACAGTAACAAGCTCGCTAAAAAATCTGTGCTCAGCTGGCCTGGCTGATGGTACCCTGTAAGGGCTCCTGATCCAGGGATACAGGATGAGCTGCGTTTGTATTCCTTGTTAGGAGCTGCTGTGTGCACATGGTGTCTGTTCCTCATGTCAGAGGCGGCCATTTCTTTTGGAGCTAAGTCGGCCTGCCACTGAGTAGTGCTCCCAGTCTTAATGACAAAGGTAGACGCATTCTACTTCACCCAGTGGTTGTCAAGCAGACACTATCAAGGGTCACAACTTGATACCCTAATATGATTGAGTGGAGATAAGAAAGAAGAAGAGGTCCAAGAGACTTCCTGAGAAATCAAAAAATGGGTATTTAAGGCCAAATTAGTGTAAATATGCTGCTCATGTGAAAAATAGAAAAATAATCAGGTGTTGATATTAAAAAAAAAAAAAAACATATCCTGACTTTTTTTTCTTCTTATTTTTCACATCATCAGCATGTTTACCCAAATTTGGCCTTAAATACTTATTTCTTGACTTCTCAGGAAGCCTCTTGGAACAAATTTTTGGTCGTTGAGGTACAGTCTGCACCACACCGATGAGGGCCAACAGCCTGAAACATGTTCATGGCTGGAATTTCTTGATTTATCCAGGAAATGGGTAGTAGGCTATATATCATGGAACAACCCTAAATCAACATTTAGTTGATTTTTGTTCCACTAGATGGCGCTCTACCTTCTAAAATGCTCATGTGAATGGTCAAGATATATATATTTTGTTTTTAATATCAACACCTGACCATATTTCTATTTTTACTAATTTTTCAAGGAAATAAATGTGATAGATAAATGTTGCATAGGTCTATTTGGGAATACATGTGATTGCATGTTTAGAAAATCTATAAAGAATGAAATTATACAGAGCAAAACAAACATGTTGTTAAAACTGTTTTTTTTTTTTTAATTTTTACTCCAATGGCCCTCGATTCTTGGAAAAGTTCAACCCCAACAGCGAATTCAAGTAACCAAATGGGGCTCTGGCACATTTGCAAGTGCAAAGTCGAACTGCTTTTCACATGTGTAGACATGTAGTGCACTTACAGTAAAAGCAGTCGCCTACTTCTATCCACCATGATTATCACGCCTGTACCACGTGTACTAGGGATAAGCAAAGAAAAAGTTATTTCTTCACAACTTGGCAGATCTTCCATGACATTTCCCAAACAGCCGTCAATTGCCAACATAAAGCGACCATTGGATGTAGGCTGGTCAATTTATAACACACTTGGTTATTTCTCAATTTGACTGGTTGCTTTGGCCATAAATAATTGAATCCTTCGTTTCTTGTTCAACACAAGGTTTTCTTCTGAGACTAAGTTATCCACAACCTATTTGGGCAGATATATATAAATAATAAACAATACATAAATAAATAAAACCTTTTTTTTTTAAATGGGTTTTGCATAATAACTCAAGTTTAAAATTGAGATTTGAAAATATAATTTTTAATATACAGTAGAACCTCCCTGTAAAGGATAGCTAATTACAGAGCCAAAGTGTTCTTTAGGGAGAGGTGTCCTCTTACCAGAGAGTTGCTAAATTGTAAAAATGGTAATTTTACAAATGAAAACTGTCCTTTGTGGAGAGGTCTCCTTTTACCGGAGAGTTGCTAAATTGTAAAAATGATAATTTTGCAAATGAAAACTCTCCTTTGTGGAGAGGTGCCTTCTTACCGGAGAGTTGCTAAATTGTAAAAATGGTAATTTTGAAAATGAAAACTGTTCTTTGTAGAGAGGTGTCCTCTTACTGGAGAGTTGCTAAATTGTAAAAAATGGTAATTTTACTAATGAAAACTGTCCTTTGTGGAGAGTGTCCTCTAAATGGAGGTTCTACTGTATTTTGAAAGAGATCATCAGCCTACCTAGGAGGTTCCTCCAATACAGTGGTGTAGCGCAGAATAAGAAAAACATGTGTTACCATTTTAAATCAAATTTGATGTTGTTTGAAGTTTATTAACTTGACCAACACATCTGTTATCTAAATATATATTTATTAGATTCACACATACAAAGAAGTTAGTAATGTTTCTTGATACATAAGGTTCCAAAATTTAATAAAAGCAATGTGTATAAAAAAAAAAAACTTGTGTGATAAAGAAGTTTTTTTCCCTTTAGAATTGGAAAATTTTTATATACATAATTGTAAATAAGATCACACGATGATTATTGCAAAATTTTCAAATTATTATTATATGATAATATAGTTATCAAATATAAATTATTGATCAACAATAAAAATTAGTAGAAAAGATGAATACAAAATATTTACATAAGGTAATAAGTTTATAAATTTAATTGCCACCTATCGTTAAAATTTTGTACAAATAAATTTACTGGCAATGTGTTTCTTTTAAATAATATCAAGTATTGGCGAAACAGCTGAGAGGGTTCACTTCTGATGAGCCAAGCCCTCTCATTCAATAGCTTATATCATTGCAGTAAGGTCCGTAGAGATAATATTTGATGATATTATTTAAAAGAAACACATTGCCAGTAAATTTATTCGTACAAAATTTTAATTAGGTAATAAGACCAAATCTCCAAAATGTTTCTAATCAAATTGTACTTTATATCAATAACAATTTGTCTTATTTGATGATAATAATAAAGCACAATTTGGATTATAGATACAATAAAATAAGACCTAATCCAAATAAATTAATAGTGTGTGATGTTTTGGTAACAGCATTGTTACCATCATCAGACAAAAGAATAAATGAGAAAAAATACCACAGTATGTTCTTAAATAGTACTGTTATTAAGTATGTAAACAAGATAGCTGATAAGAAAAAAAAAGTTTTTTATATATTATAACTTATATATTAACTAGCCGAATGACCCGGGCAACGCCCGTGTTTTAATTTAGACATGTGGACCTGTTGGATCATTAACGCCTGTGTTTTACCCGATTGAATGTTTTTATTCAAATACTATTTGTTACAATCATAAATTGGCGCCTTAAATAAATGCATATATTAGTTAATAACTATAGCCTATGTGCTTTATCTGTCTATGTACTGTTGGCTTCCATAGGCGTCTCTTACTGGGAAAAAGAAAGAGAGGATTCCATTTAGTTATTAACTAATATATGCATTTATTTAAGGAGCAACCCGCTCCAACACAATAGTTACAAAAACCAAAAAGTGAGTGGGGGGGGGGGCAAAGTCAAAAACAAAGTGTCTCGCGCAGTGGCGGCACCATCGCAGCGAACCAATAGGAGAGCGCCATTCCAAAAAAAAAGCAAACGGTGACAGAGATGAAGAACACATGACGCTCGTAACTGCATATAGAATATTTTTTCTTATCTGCTATCTTGTTTACCCTCTTGATAACAGTACTATTTAAGAACATGCTGTGATATTTTTTATCATTTGGTCTCAAAAATCATCTATTCAGGTTAGCAGCCCCATAAATAAAGATATTTCCAAAATTTCCATTTTTTTTTTCATTTATTCTTTTGTCTGATGATGGTAACAATGCTGTAACCGAAATGTCACACACTATTAAATTATTTGGATTAGGTCTTATTTTCTTATAATTTGTCTTATTTTATTAATAGAAAATATTATGAATGAAGACTGTGTAGCATATAAAAGCAAAATGATCCAATACAATATTGAGCTCTAAAGAAGCAGTCTGGTAGATTAAATTGACGAAACCACTGGGAGGGTTCACCACTGATGAGCCAAGCCCTCTCAATATTTTTTCATCGCAGTAAGGAGAGTAGATGTTTGATTTATTTGTGAAAAAAAAAAACAAAAACATTTGCTTCTTAGTGTTTCATTCGTTATATATAGATTGCACATTATTGCTTTGTATTAAGAAAATATTATGAAGGGGTCACTTCTATTAACCGTCAACAGTTCTCTTCCGTGGTGAATTTTAATAAAATTTCATCCACCAGAAGACCTGCTAATTTAGTTTGGACAAGAGCAGGAAGGACTTTCAAGTTACAATGATTCATGATTGTCAAGGTTTTCAACATTGAACTTCTTCTTTTTCTTCCTTTTTCCAGTTTTTCTATTATCATATCTTTGTAGGGACCATAATTTTCTGCGAGAGATTTTATATTTTGCTGTTGTAGCAGGGAAGTGTCATTGTCCAGGTAGTGTGCCAACTTATTTACATCTTGTTCATTTAGATAGTCGCGCAGAGAAATTGTACTTTTGCCAAGATAGTAGCTTTGTAATTTCTTTATCATAGATTGAGAATGAAGACATATTTCAGAAATAATTCCACTTGTACTAAGAATATAGGAAATTCTTTCTTTTTCTATATCTTGGAGCAAAATGTAAAGAATCAGAAAAATATTGATATGCAATTTTTTGACATCAGTATGTAAACTTAGATCAATATTAGCGGTGGTTATATCAGCACCTGCTTCCAACAGGAGTTTAACAACTTCAGCGTTATATGATACACAAGCATAATGTAATACCGTAAAGCCATTTAGATCTTTTGCATTCGCATCTGCTCCTTCTTCTAGAAAAAATTTTACCCAACTTGGACAATGTGTTTGATCAAACATTACTTCATT